CTCGACTTTAAATAGTTGCCATACTCTTCACAAAATTCATTTGGAAATTGCTTTAAGCCTCGAAATTTGACCAAAACGAGAAACAAGGAGTTGGACACAAAGGCGTAGGTATCGTCGAATGTGGGGATAGTATTTCGTAGACCCAATGTCTCATACCATCCAGCCACTTGACTCCAGACAGACAGAGACTCGTATGTATATATCCATATCCCATATATACATATATCTGTATATGGTTTCGTACAGGTCGGTTAGATGAGGGAGGATGGCGGATGGCGGACGGTGAAGCGAATATCTATCAATGTGCTTTCGGTTATTCATCAACGAAAATGTCTAAATTATTCAAATGGAAATGTGGAAATGTCGTCCGCCCTCCATTTCTACATCTCTCCATCTTTCCATCTCTTCAATCTCCGATCCTTTGGGCCACTCCTGTTTTGTTTCTGTTGGTCGGACATGGACTGAATTGATGAAGCGGCAGCAGACCGACAAACCGTTAGACGTAATGTGGACAGATGAGTGGGTGGATAGGTGGTATGGTGTATATATGGTGGGAGGCAACCGCTAACAATGGCCTCGTTCTCCTACTCTTTGATTTCCATCTGGCAAGTGCCCGAAATGGTTTCGTTATTTGGTCCTGTCTGCCGGTTGCTCTCTCTCTCTATATATATATGCATTTTATACTAATATATATATGTGTATATATGTTGGCTGGATTTTATGTCTAGTCAGGGATTTCTATAAACACACAGTTTTAAAGAAAATAACCTCCATTCTCTAGCTACTAAATGTTCTATGGAAAGTACACATAGGCTATTGTATGTAATTACTACTTTTTTTAATCTTAAATTTGTCTTGGTAGTTACTTCGGGAAGTATCTTTGATAGGGCTATCTACCTCTTAGAATTCGGTGGTTTCATTAAATTTGTTTCATAATTATTGGCATTATTAATGATTACCTAATAACATGTCTTAAATTTTTTTACCTAAACTGGTCCTTCAGAATCGCCTCGATTGGAATATCGCATTCTCACTCTTAATATAACCTTATAAAACAATCGAGAAAAGGCACGATTTCCTCAGTTTGTTTAGAATGGAATTACCCAGTTGCCACAACGCACTCCTCCGCATCTTCAATGATCCCTTTGCTAATTTACTGTTATGACGTCAGAAGAGAGCCTTTGTTGTTTTTTGTTGTTGTTGTTTTTATGGTCGAGGTTAAGTCGAAGGTTAAGGTGGAACTTGAATTGCTTGTAATTGTTTTTGTTCCTGGCCGCAGCAGCGCCTGTTTAAATGTTTGTCAAAGGAAAAAGACGTGTCAACTGGCGCCGTTGTGTTGCTGTCTACCCCTCTCGCTTCTCATTCATACCCCCTGTCTTTCCATCTGTTTGGACAGGTCCAGGCTCAGGACAAAGAAAAATGGTCCACGTTTCATTGGAGCTTTGTTCATCTTGTTGTTGCACACATAACACACAACAGCAGAGGTTAAGGATTTAAGTCCACAGATTAAAGAATATATAATATATGTTTTTAAGATATTAAATAAGATGTTTCCCATAAGTTTATAAAAGAAATGAAGAAAAGATCTTAAAATTACAACCTATACAAGCCAGTCTTGTCCAGTTATAAGAAAATAATCAGAAATCAATAATTATTTCACATATTTCTGTAATCCAAGAGCTACCCCTTGAGGTTTGTTTAACTAAAATTGATACCTCGTTATATTTATTAGAACTAGCCTATCAAGATGACCTCTGCTGTATACAAAAGTGTTGTTATTGGGGCTGCTGGTGTTGGCAAAGCAGCGAACAGGATAAAATTCGCTGTTTACATTCTCTAATTTCGCTTGTTCATTGTCCAGCGAAGCGTTTCGCGTGCATCGCCCAAGCCTCCCCCGACCACACCCCTTTTTTTCCAGCCGCCCCTTGACCACCAAGCACCCCTCCTCACTTGAAGGCCAGAAAAATAAAATACAAAAACAAAAAAAAAGCGAAGGCAAACTTTGTTTGGCCAGTTGACCAACAGAGCGCTGGTGAAATTAAGCCGAGTATCCATATCCGTTGTCTCAACTGCAGTCACACCCCCTGGAAAAGTCCCATTCGAAGCCCCCTATCTTAACCCATTAGGCAACGATGGTCGAAAATCTGATAAGATATACTGGGAAATTGCTAAAATAATCAACTTGAACTATCTTTGAAATATATATAGAAATCTGTAGCTTGATTATATTCATAATAATCATTTAATTTTAATATTTTCTATAATATTATCTTTAAAAAAGGAGCATTAGATTTATTTTTTAGTAAACTCAACTTGTATTAAATTTGTTTGTTTTTATTTTCTGCCTAAATAGTTGTTATGAAAAACTTTAAAACTTAAATTGCCATTCTGATAAAGAATAATTCGAAAGACCAAAATCAAAAACCTCAAAAAACGACTTCTGAGTTAATTAAGAACTCTTTGGCTAGAAAACCGCACTTAGTGGGTTAATCGCTTGGGAGCTCCCCCCTTGTTAGCCGATCTGGGCTTTTGCTTCTTTTGGGCTGCGGCGAACATCTTCTCTTTGCTTTTCATTTGGCTGCCTGGCAAAAGATTTCAAAGTAATGTTACATCAAGTGGAAAACACTTGCACATACAGTGGAGCCTCGCCATTGCTACCATCATACCCCCCCTGCCCACTGAAACACCACCAATTTCGGCACCTGCCGACATCTCCTGGCAGAAATCCGCTTTGTTCTTCTGCCTCAGTCAGCATTTTTGCAGACAGGATACAGGCGCAAGGTTTCTAATTTTTTGTATCTTGTTTCTCAACCCGCCCCACTGGCCACTGTACAGTGTTCACATATCGATGTACTGGCACAAAACCCATTGAAATCGGTTGTGGAGGAGGTGGGCTCAGAAAATATTGTTTGGCCCCCCAAATCGGAAAGGAAAATTTACCAGGAACTGAGGGTGAGCATGTTTTTTGTTGGAAAATATTTCTTCTTTATATACAGAAGTGTCATATGAAGCTCTTTGAATGGAAAATGGTATCAGAATTAAGTGAACGTGTCTTGAAGTATATTAAGAGTTATTTCATTTCAAAATCATTCTAAAACTCGAGAAATTCAGTGAATCTTCAATTGCCAATTTGAATTTTGAAATACTCAAAAGAAGCGTTTAGTTTGTATGGTCACATTCATTGAGTCAAACATATGTATGGCCACACTAACTTCAAAAGTACTCAAAATACTTTAAAGTATTTAAAAAGGTAATGAAAAAAAGTTCTAATACTTTTTAATCAATAGCAATTTCAATAGTTCAACCTTAGTTATTCTAATTAAAAGTTTCCTTTGCAAGGTCCCACTACATTAATGGCCACACTGGAAAATCAAGAAAAAAGATAATCTTGGGCAACCAAAAATTCCGTTGACAAGCCCAAGTTGTTGGGGTCGTTGGTGTTGTTGCCACTGTTATTTCCCAGTTAGTTGGCTGTAATAAAAAGTGCAGAAGCACTGTTGCCTTGTCGCCCTGTCTCTAATTCGCACAAATGGCAAAAATGTAAACGAATTTCTTATGTTCATTAACTCTGCCGACGACGACGACGTCGACTGTGCTGCTTCTTGGCACTTGTATCGTCGTGTCAAGTTGTTGCTGTGGCAGCTGCAGCAGCAGCAGCAGAGTAGCAGCAACAACATCCATTGCAACTGCAACATGATGCTATTTTTATTAGCCCGACTGAATTCGGGACTGTGGGTTCTCTGTGTCAGCGAAAGGTTAAAGCCACTGGTCAAGTTCAAGGCGTGAGAAATAAAACAAAGTGGAAAACAAAGTTGCAGAGGATTAAGTTTGTCTAAGATGCTTTGCATTCCAAAAAGATAGCAAATATCGGAAGTTTGATACTTAAACTCATTATGAAACTATTTAAAAGATTTCCTAAAACATTTTATTTCCTTGATTCTTGGACGTGTGCCAGGTTGGTGACCCGAATACCTCAACAGTTCAAACTACAGAACCAATTTGGTGGCTCTCGTTTTTGCTATTTCTGGCCTTTAAACTGTCAAAAGGCCCAAAAGGTGCCAGTCCATCGAAGGAGTGTGAATCGGCGGGTATATACCGGGGATATATGGAAGTTAGGGGTTTCTGGGGGGAATCGGACCTGGACCTGGACCTGAACCTCAAGCTGGAGCTAAAACTAAAGCTAAGGCTGGGCAAACGGGTCGCAGCTGCATGGGCCAACTAAAGGACCCAAGTCGAGTGCTGATCATGCTCTCAGCTCACGCAAAATAGTCGTGCACGATCCGCTTCGTGATTTTGTGTAACGAAGCGCCCAAAAAAATCTTTCTATATATTTACTATATATATATATAAAGATATATATATATATATATATCTAGCTGGGTCCCATGACCGAAATGAAACCAAAAAGTAACAAAGCGAAATACGCTGGAAATTCATCTTGTCGCTGGCCATTCCAAATCGCAAATCGCAGCCGGTGCCAGTGCCCTTGACTGTGGATATTCTCCACCCAAGATTCCCCCACTCTCACTCCCAGTCGCAGGCCAAGTCCCATTCCCATAGTGTTCTGCCCTCGATCTTTTACTGGGTTCTGGGGCGACACTTGTGCATCATTTTGGTGACTTTTGCTCTTTCACATGGCAAAGGGTCTATGAAATATCACACGAGCTTTGGGTTGGGTTATGCAAATCAGCTTGGTGCTTCTAGAGGAAAAAATGTATCAGATATTACAAAACTCGTAATATTAACATCTGATAATAAACAGATCGAGTATATCAATTCTTTGTCAATCCAATTCAGAAATCTCTCTTAAAGCTATCAAAATTTCTTTTCTTAGAAAAATAGATAGCTCTCCAGAATCTAGAGTTCCAAACAACCCACAAGATGCCCAAGTGTATACAGAGTTCGTGATATTCGATTGATCGGACTCCCCATTGCCGTTTTAGCCATGTCAATTCCCTAACCCCGCGCCTGAGTGTTTGTCTTACCTTGAAAATCGCTGACTACTCGGAGCAACTGTTGCTGCTTCGGTGGTCGGTGGTCGATGGATGTTGCTCCTCCGCTTCGTGTTTCATCGCTGGGAGACTCATCTGGAGACCATCTATGTCCATGTCTATGTCTATGTCTACGTCTATGTTGTCTTCTTTGCCAGCATTGGATGCCAACTTGGATCGCGAGTGCAACTGCGACTTGCGACTGCGAAATGCCTGCCAGTTATTTGCTCCCATTGTTCGCAGTTCGTGGCTCAATATTGCGTTGCACATGCCCCTCCTTCGCAACCCTTTGTCATCTTTCCTCAGGGAGATGCACTGAAAAAATTTTTATTAAATTACAAATTTCATAAGAAGTTTTTCTATAAATACAAATCTCATGTTGTCCTTTGGCTATGGTAGTTTTTTTCTATCCTCTTTCATTAATCCTTAAGAAATGGAAAATTTTCTTATTAAAGTTCTTATTTTTTTAAAGATTTTTTTCTCAGTGCAGTGGTTTGAGGGGAGGGGCAGCTAGCGACGCACGCCAGCTTTCGTTTTTCGTGTCCTGCGTTCGCCTCGAGTCTTTTGTCTTATTTGATTTATGAGTTTTATTGTTGGCTCTCCGCGAAACTCCACTCTTCACGGATCTTCTCTTTTCTTCTCGTTGGAGTCTTCTGTCTTCCCCGTTCCCGATTTCCCTGTTCATTTTGGCCAAAAAGTAGCGTGCTTTGATTTCTCCAGCAATTGGCTCGATGTTAATGTCTTCTCTCCTTTTTCTTCTTAGCTGCCAAATTTGGTCCGACCATGTCCTATATCCATCTCTGTCTATTGCCCATCTCTTTCGCACCGCATCTGAACTTCCCTTTCTAGCCATAGATCAGATTGCGATTTGTGGGAGACAAGTGCCTCAGTGCAGTTCGAGTTGCGTGGGCGTGGGAAAAATGTTGCCAACTAATTAGGCAATTGACAGGAAGGATGGCGATTTGGATGAAAAGATGTTTAAGTGAGCAGGAAAACGGAGATGAAGAAGAACTTGGCCAATGAAGGATCCAAAATAGCTAATACTGTCTTTTTGAGGACTGTAATCTAGCTGGTTTATCGCCAGAGTGTTTAAGTGGTCGTGCAATCATCGTGCTAAAGATGACGATGACTTCTGCTGCAATGCCTAAAATTGGAAAGGAATGGGAAATAAGTAACAGATTTTATATTGTTTTATTGTTATGATTATTTTTGATATGATGTATTTTTCAAGAAATTATCAATAATTAGTTTAAAAAATATTAATTTATTCGATGAGATTAAATATTTTGATTTCACATATTAAATTTGTATTTGAAAAGCAAAAATTTCGTTTTCATTATTAAATTTATATAAATTCCACCTTCATTGATAGTAAGATGACTTGAAACGAATATTTTCCAATATAATTAAAGAAATTTTCAGCTCAATTTCTTTGAGATGAAACTTTCAAGACTTTCTAAGCCAACTTGTCATTGTCCAACTGACTGGACTGTCACCTTAAAAAAAAAAATCCTCCATGTAGTCCATGTCCCTGTCTCACTATTTCTCCATTTCTCCAGAGAAAAAAAGGAGGATGAGATTTGGGGATGAGACTTGAGGTGTCACCTTGAGGAGCCAAGCATAATAAATAATTGTGTGCGTTTTGGGGCTGGCAATTCGGATTTGTTTTGGTTCTTTGGATTTGAGATTGGGATCGGACAACGGGGCGACAACGACGCGTTTTCCAAACAACCCTCCCATCCCATCCTAGTACATATATATATATATACGATATATATATAGAATGGACAAAGCCCATTCTCATTGCCATTCCGATCCCGACTTTTCTCTCGTCTCGCTGCGAATTAAGCTGTTGACACATAACATCATGTCGCACTTGTCTGCTGGCACAAATCTCGCCAGGTGAGTGGAAACGCGCGCGCAACATGAGCCCCATGATCGCAGGTTGCCGGTTGTGTTGCTGGAGTTGCTGCTTTGTCCCCGGAGCAACACGATGGCACCATGGCGAGTCCAGCAACAACACTGGACGACGAACAACGGGCGGGCTCTCGAGTGGGAAATCGGACCAGCGAGTTTGCCCAAAAAAAAAAAAAAGAAACAAAAAGCTTTTGGCACATCTTGCCGCATGTTGTCGCTGCACAGCGATGTTGCTGTTTTGCTGCGATGTTGCTGTTGCTGTTGCTATTGCCCATGACCACGACAACAACATTGAACGACGCTGGCAATTTGTGATTGGATTTTGTGGCCGGGCAAAGTCTTGCTGTTCAGTTTTGTGGCAGTCCAGGCGATCGTCAAATTGTTTTCCTGGCCATAAAGTTTTTGGCGAAGATGCGGAGGTTGTTCGGATTTTGCTTGCATGAGATGACCCGGGCTTGTCAACCTCTTCTGACAGATTCTCAGCTCCATTCATACGTTTGAAATTCGATTTTAAAGGGCACTTGTCAAGCTTTCTAATGCATTAACTAGCGTTTGGTAGTAAAAGTAGAAAAATGTAAACATTTCTAATAGTTTAATAGTCAATTAAAGTTCAAAAATTACCCGAAACCAATACTTGGGAGCCTTCTTAAGTTTCTACTATAGAATAATTTAAGTTTTAAACTATATAAACTTTAAATTATAAGCTTTATAAATGTCCAACAATCGATTTGGTATTTTAAAACTCCTACGATTAATTGAAATCCCTTCAAATTTGGGTTGTGAAAGTTTTGCTTTTCATTTTCGCCCCAGCTCTTTCGGCTGTGGGTGACATCGTGGCCAGGAGGATTGGGATTGGATGCTAGAGCTGCATCACTCATACGCCTCGTGGCCGCCGAACCAAAAGGAAGGATGCGGAGTAGGGAGTACTCCTGCAGGAAGCCGCCATTTTTGTTTTCTGCCCAGCCCCAGCATCATCAATTCCCACTGACACGTCATCCATCTTGGGCGGAGGACGAAGGACGAACTAGAGAGCCACGCACACACATACTCACAACGAGAATTGGAGGAAGAGAAGAGGAGTTAAGGCATAAGGGGGAGAGGTGGTTGGCGGGAGCAGAAGGCCTGCGGCAAAAGTCCTTTAAACGACCTCTGGCGCCAAAATGCTGCGACCCCCGAACCAAGAGCAACAAACAAGAGGAGCCACAAGGAGCTGCAGCAGGAGCAGGAACAGGACGAGGCAGCAACTGGGGAGCCGTAGTCCGCACAAGATTAGAAAATTCGACGTTGTGCAGCAGGCAAAATTAAAATGGCGACGAGGAGCCAACACGCAGAGAAATTTCCAAAAATATATGTAATATTAAGAAATTTCATAAACGATTAAAAAACATATTATTTATAAGAAATATATTTAACCAGAGAATATGTATCTTAAATGCAAAATAAATACTTGCCAACATGTCGTATACACAATGTTTACGAATTTATAAGCTACCCATTAAAAAATGAGTAAATTTGTGGACATAATTATTAAAAAATAGAACTTGGTTGGATTTCTCAGACTTTACTCTTAGTTAACCAAATTTTTTTTGATATCCCAACTTCCCAACTTAGAAGAAGATACTATTTCTTTCCATGTATTTAAGGAGATGTGGGACAAAGGGCACGAGATGGCGGTGGGCAAAGCCGGCCGCATCACGAATGCAAGGATGTGGATGCACTGCACACTGCGGGGACTCCCCGAGGGCTGCTGCAGCCATTAAAATCCACAGGCTAGCGGGTTCAGAGAGCGGAGGGATTGGAGGGTTAGGTACTGGCAGCACTAAAAGGGGAGGTCAGAGGAGCACAGGAGCAGAAGCCGTGGCACGTAAAATGGTCGTCGGCGTTTGCAACGCACGCAAGGACATTTGAAGGATAAAGTCGCGTGCAACAACAGCTGCACTGAGCTGCCGTTACTTGGCATACGAAATAAACTTGGGCCGCACACCACCCACCTTGCACCGCCCACCAACCAGGCCACTGCCTCTGCCAACCCTCTGCTGCTTTCCCCCCAAAGAGCAACGCGACTAAAGTAAATAAATGATAAACGAAAATAAAATGCAAGGACTCCAGCTCGCTTTTTTAGAGAGCAAATGGGTGGTGGACTTGGTGAGGCGGTACGGAGGTGATGGGGGCGGGTGTGAAAAGGGACACACACGTGCTCTGACAGGATTACAAGAATGCTCGAAGGACCAACAATGCCTGAACACTAGAAAAAAGAAAATATCATTTAAATACTTGTTAAAAATTATTCCCAAGTTTAAATTTTTAAGTAAGTTTAAGTTTTTAAATAGTATTTATATTATTATAAAGATAATAAATAAACATTTATAGTTAATAAATTAAAAAGACTTAGACTTAGATACAACATTTTTTTTGTGTTTTTAAAAATGTGAGGGAAGCGGAAAAGCTGTGCGAAGTAAAGGCAAGCGGATGACTGCAATGACGTTGTCCTGTTCGGAGTCCTCCTACCATCCTACCATCCACCTCCCACTTCCCCTACGCTACCCCCCTGGGCTGCCCTTTCAACCAGCTTATTGCAGTTTTGGTGGCAACTAAATTCACATTTGCTGTACTGTCGTATAGCCCCCAGATACCGGCATTGAAACGGCCCATCCACACACACATCCCACCCACTTTCTTTTCACACACTTAGAGCACCTGTCGCCCACCGAAAAGAGATCCTAAACCTTCTTAGTTACTCTGCTCGTAGGAGGTATATATTTGTTGAAGTGGCTTGGAGGCTAAAACTAAAATTTTGACCATGAAAATATAACAAATTTTGCCAAAAAATGTGTCGACTATATTTATATTTATATTTATTCTTTATCAAAAGAAGCTTGTTGAGTCTTTCATTGGTGCTGATGCTTGTTCAACCTGATTTTGAATAGGTCTAATCATTCTTTTTTACGAATAAGACATTAACTTAATAATATTAATGGCATATAATCACAGTTACAAGATATTTATTAAATAATTTGATATCTAGAACTCAGATTAACATAAGAGCATTGTTCTGTTGGTTCTTCGATTAGTTTTCTAGCAATTCCTTTGGCTATACTTTTGTGCTGCTGTCGAATATCGAATTTGTTAGAATAACCAGCAAATGTTACAAGGACCTGCCCCAAAAAAAGTAACCTCCTTTTGCACCATCACTACCACTCACACAATGTGGTCACCAGGGAGTTGAAAAAATAAAACTAAAAACTAGTGAGTGACCGACACCAACATAGTTTTTGCATTACAAAACAAGAAAATAAAAACTTAGTAGAAAATCGTAGAAAATACGGGCAAATGAGATGCAAACGGCTATAAGCATTTTGGTTAATTAAAGTACGTCGATTCTGGCTGACTAGCTGACTGGCTAGCATCATCATCATCATAATCATTGTGCTGCCAGCGTCGACTGCGAAATAAATTAAATTCAATTTTCGAAGCGTTCGAAGCGATGCCCAGGAAACATTTTCATGGCCCAAACTGCGCTTTGGCTGACCTTTTGCTCGCGAAACAGCCAACGGTAATCAGTGCCACATAACGCACATGGCCGGGGCGGGGGACTGTTTTTTTCTCTTCTTTTTTTTTTTTTGTTCCTGGCCGGCCGAAACGATTCAAACTGCAACTGAGAACCAGGCCCATTGCCGCGGTGAAACGCGCCACGCAAAAATCACAAAAATCGTGCGTGCCCTTAAGACGCTCATAAAAAACGGAAAAACAGCAAATCGCAGAGGGGGTGGCTGGGGCACTAGCGGGGTTTTAGGAGGGAGCCATGGCCACTAAAAATGTTTTGCTTAGGCAACCGAAAAAAAAAACTCCAACAGC